TCGAGTTTACATATCACATCAAAAATACGCACCTGTGGAATTACATATTGTTTTAAATTTAACCCAAAAATCGACTACCTATAAATCGCCGGAATTTACAATCGCCCTAGGGAATAGATATATATTATGTGCTGTATTTAAAAATAGAATTATTGGGAAAATATGTTTATGTGCCATTATACTATTATGGTATTCAGAATTAAGATAACTACTGACTTCAACAGTCCACATAGCATTCTACTAATTATATGTTATGACTTATGACGTTATGTTATTGTTGATATAGTGATATAAAGACGAATAATAAATGTTTAATGTGTTATTGTTCGTTTTGAGTTATTTTTACTAAATATACGTAATTGATGTTTTACATTCATTGTTTTTACATCACGTTAGTTTCAGGCCGAGTTTATACACTGCGTATTTCGTGGTGTTTTCTGATGGACTGCTATACAAGGCGTATCCGTCGATGGTATTTTGCCGCGTATATTTGTATAATATCTAAAAAAAAACATAAAATTATGGTATAAACGCGATATTTTCTATCATCCAGTATAGTCCATCTTAATTTAAAAGTTCACGATTTTATTATTCCGGCGTTCGTCCACTAAAACGCAAGTCGACCGGCGTTATCCGCCGCGAATGATAACGCGGCGTTATACATCCGTCGTGTATAGCTACTTCAAAGTAAGACAATGAATCTTGAACTCGACGGAAAATGCCGTGGAATACGCCTTAAACACAACATTTTTAAATAGAAGTAAAAAAAGAAAAAGTAGAAAAGAAAATCAACACTAAAAAGTTGACAAAAGTCGATACATTTTTTTTGTATTATTTCTTCTAAAAAGATTAGTACCGTAGTTAGTATATACTAAAAATATATTTTCTATGACTAACAAAAACATTAGTTATATAATTAAAATGTTTACATAATTTGAACTTTGTTTACTATTATTTCTGAAATAAATAACAAAATAGATTTACTAATTAAGTCGGCAGTGATTCGAATTGATAACAATGAACAACATATTTGTGACTCTTGTACAGGTAATAAAATACATAACTTATTTAAGTTTTAGTAAAATTAAATATTTTAGATATAATATTGTTAGAGTGTAATAAATAATAATTTATAAAATTCAGATAATAGCATAGTTAAACAAATAAATATTTATACTGTAATTTTTAATAATAAATAAAGGTAATTGAATAATAATTATTAAGATTATGATAGGTACCATATTATAATATTTTTTGTTGAAAAAAAAGGGGGGTAATAATTGAATTGTATTGGTTGTTAAAATTGACTTTTAAAAATAAATTGTATGAAATTATTTTAAAATATAAGAATTAAATAAATTTAAATATATAGTATTTGTGAATATAATAGATTTGAGGGCAAATGAAAGGAGTTAGTGGAGGCAGCTTTAGATATCGGTAAAATAAAAGGATATATGATAAGTAAAAACTAAAAAACACGAAATTGAAAGTTTTTGAGTCATCGTTGAACAATGAGGTTTTATAAATAAAAAATTTTCAATGTTTATATTTTGGAAAATGAAAAACTGACCTAAGAGTAGAATTTTACAGACATCCATTTTACCTGAGCGCAAAATGTACTTTAGAGTTTTGGCCATTGGGTAACCGGGAAAACGTGAATTAAAAAATAAAACTTCTTGTTGTTTTTAAATTGTTGTACAATGCATTTTCCGAGAAACCATTTGAGACAGGTAAATGGACGGCTGCTAAACTGTTCGAAATAGTCTGCATAAAATGTGTTTTGGATTTGTTAAAATTACAATATAGAAGATTTTTGAAACGTCGTCGCACATCGAAGTTTTTCAAACCTTTACAACCGACATTTAGGTAAAATTAAAACTGGTACTGTAACTGTTGTAGAAATTTTCGGACAATAATTCTTGATACCTATGTGAAAAATGTGCATCTGATTATCGGATTAGATTATGTTTATTTATTGATCGTAAATTCGTAACACCGTTCATCATTTTATGTCTTCATATTGCATTTTATTGTATTTTGATTTACTCGTACATCACGTTTTCATTTTCGCGTTGATGTATGCATCGACAAGTTTGTGACGTACAACAGAAAAACAATGAATTTATTCATCAACAATCAATATTCAATATAGTTGTTACCGAGTCAGAAAAATAATTTTAAAATGCATTTCGTCAGTCAATGAAATAATCAATTTATTATTTAATCGTTTATCAAAACAATATTGTTTTTTTTTCTTTTTTTAATTTAGAAGTATTTAGTTATTAGCGAAAGATAAAATGTTAACGTACACTTTTGAAGTTTACTTGATTCCGGAACAAGTGGCCGTCCTAAAAAATTTTGTCGGGACAATGGGACGCTGTATTCGAAACCGACACGCAGGGATATAACCCCACGACTTCAGAGTTAATAATATTTTATGATTATTGCGCCACTAATAACTCTGATCAATAACTATAATCGTCGTATCCGCGAGGTTAGGTTTAAACGTTTAATTAAATACCAATAATTGCAGTAAATGTTTATGGTCACACCACAAGCTATGATGATTGGTCATTTCATCCAATTCGTGGTTATATTATTCGCAATGCACGACTTTTAATATTATTTCGTATTTTCGTGTAAATTTCACGTAGGAGATATGAGTTTAGGAGGCATTTATTACAATCACTATATAACCGCGATAGAATACACGATTTATCACTCCCAAGTACAGTGTTTCAATATTATTAATATATTTTTTAATCAACTGTCCAATGGCATAAAAGTCGTGTCTTATTAACATTCATTCTTACTATCATATTATCCATTTCTCATAAATTTACAATAATTTACATCGTGTTATACAGAGTAGATTATCTAGTAATAGACACTCGGCATATTAAATAAGTGATGTAACTACACAACATTTAATATAACACATAGGCATCTAAAAAAGTACGAAACTATTGAAATTTACATGCATTAAATAATTGCACCTAAATTAAATTAAATTTATCAGCTGTTTTTATTGTTTAGTCACTGGTTTGTGTAATAATTAAAACCAAGGGTATCTAATTGTCGATAACGTCAATTATAAATTAATTTCAATTAATGTTGGATTAAATCAATAAGAAAATACAACTAATAATGACAGACGAGTAAAATACGGTCCCAGAAAAACATATTTGATAGGTCCTCAAATATGTTTTTTGTTTTAAATACTCGATATATTAAGTGATTTCTTTTTTTATGGTATTAATGTATAGGTATTAATTTTACAGTTTTATAGAACATAATATTGTTTTGCTATCAAGTTAGTTTTTATGAAACAAAAATTGTATATTGTTTTATCTAATAAATCACCTTTTTTTTTTTTTAACGTCTTTGTCTTCACATCAATATTAATTATTCAATGCATTTTTCTCTACGTCCATAAAAAATATGATATAGTCATAATATGGATGACATACGTAACTACATAAGTAACGATATGTATTAAAAAATATTCTCGATCAATATTGATTAGGACTGCAATACTCGAGGTTTTCCGAATAGCGGGTTTTAGTTTCTGCGAAAAAAAAAACAGTAATATTTGTGTAAAACAACTGTTTTATTTTATTGATGAATTACATTGTAAGTAAAATAAAAAAAATCCCTTTACTCAAACGCCAATATCGTTCAATATTCATAGTACGTAAAACGATTTTGATATTATTTATTTATATAATATTTAAGTACAAGTATTATACGGACAACTGACATGTGTCACAACGTCACGACTATATACTTATATTTACGTATGCTTGATTTACGCGTTGCGAAATTACAATAATAAATTAGTCAAAATATGATAATTATTACAATATTATTCAAAAATACAGTTAATAATAATAAATTCAGTTACAAATAATATTATTTTATGTTACCGTCGCTGCAGTGCGCGACTAAAAAAATGCAGTATACCTTATTATACACATTACACATAGAAAAAACTTAGGTTTAGACATTAAAATATATCTATTCATTAACATATATGATATTTATTCATAAATGCTATCTGCGCCCACAAATATATTATATAATATATATTTGCAATTTCGATATAGTCAATAATATTGCACTATAATAGCTCTTGGCTAAACGTTACAATAACAGGCGGTTTAATATTGTACTAAATCGATTAAATATTATATATTTAATTTTGATATATTATATATCTATTTAATTGTACATGTTATATGCTGTATACGCGATGGTGTCCGTTCTTACGGATGAACGTTGTTGTAACGAGGTGTATAATAAAATGTATATAACAAAACAAAAAATTAAAATAATGAGACTAGAAAAATCATAAAAAAATTGAGATAAAAATATCGCCATCGATAAATAATAATAAAATAATATATATTCATGATATATTGTGGGAGTAGAAAGAGTGAATAATATTATTTAATAATCATAATACATATACACGTCATAGCACTGACGAAAAAATGGTTTTACTCTAGAGTACATATAAAATATTGTATTAATATTTATTCAGTTTAATAACTATATTATACTCATATATAATATTATTAATATTAACTACTCACGCGTATTATATTATACATAAATACTACGAAATAATGTTCTTGTTCATTCCCAATAAATATTTAGGTACAATAATATTATATTCAACTTGATTCTTCAATCGTAAACTTACGTCTAAAATAAAAAATATGATCACCGAATAAGATTGTCATCGAATTATTGTGTTACATCTTATATAGAATGTATTTTGACAGAAACGATTATGCGTCGATCCGTGTTGTGGAAGACATAAACATTTTAAATCACTATTTAAACAAATCAAATTGGGTGAAAAAAACAATCTCGTTTCGACAAGAATATTATTATTAGGATTTTAACTTTGTACTCTGAATATAATGTTAAAGTGGTAACATGCGGCGTACATAAAAAAAAAACAATGGATAACTATAATAAATGGTAATTAAAAAAAATAACATTCGGAAAACTACATCCTCATACTTTAACAGCGACGACGGAGTGGATTGGAAACCTCAGTGTGTTCCACACACGATACTAAAAAAATGTTTTGACTTGATAATAAGTACTATCGAGTGCGTAAGATTGAAATTTTAAGTATAATATATACAGATATAAATAGATTTTTTTTACAAGAATTCTCATACTTAAAAAAAAAAAAAAAACATCAGTATATAGTAAAATCAATCGATCGTCACAACAAAGTAATATTGGTCTGGATAAAAAAAACCAAAATAAACTATAAAAACAAATTGAAACTATCGAATAACTGTTGACCTCATTTGACAAATAACCTATGTAAATAGGTATATTATTATATGATGATAAAAATAAGCGCTTAAAGATTCGCATTAATTGCAAATATTCGTTCTAAACGATATCCAATAAAAAACAGTAATATCATTCAAAATATACATTAGAATAATAATTTAAAAAAAAAAAAGAAAAAAATATTTAATTTTTTAATATATATGTATATATAGTTAAGGTAAATTATAATTGTTAGGAATGTTGTTGATTTTGATGAGAGGACATGTAATATGGTGGGTCGGATGAGAGTGAAAACATCGTATAGCGCGTGCGCTATACTATCCTCTCAAACGATCAATTACCGAACCGTCGTCCCCGCTTTTGACGGCGATGATGAAATAACAAATAATATTTATAGGTAATTATGTACAAAAACAATTCGGAAGGAGTGATGTCGAATTTCGGTGTTCCGAGAATCACGTTGGCGGCGGACCGTTCATGTACCGGAGACCTAACGCGAACGACCACTTGTAGTTGTTCTGTAGGTCACAGCACTGAGGTTCCAGCCAGCCGATCGAGCACAAGATCATGACTGCCAGGTAGAACGGCACAGCAATCCGAAGCGTGCGCCAGAGTAGTGCGGTGTTGTCTTTGATCTTCTTATTGAGAGGCGTTTCCGCAATTGTTTCCTCCGCCGCTACGTCCGCGTCGACACTGCAAAAAAACAAAACATAAGAATACGTCAGTTAGTTGACATGGGAAAATTCAAATAATGCCTACATTTTTAGAGTATAAGTAATTAACTATAGGTACATATAATTTTCTACATGGATATAGTGAATGTTTTAACAACTTTTCATCACAGCATTGTTTTCTAGATTTTTAAGAATTAAAATGTACTTCCTATAAAAAGTTATAATAGGTATATCATATAATATATATATTATCACAACATATATATGTTACATTGAGATATTGTAGATCCAAATTAAATATTTCTATAATAAAATAATTAACAATAAACATATGCTATTTTATGGATTAATGCTATTGAATGACGTAATATTATTATCACATTTGTAGAATATAATGACTAATGAGTATACACAGCACTATTTCGTTAGTAAAAAAAATTATAATTATAATAAGATAATAATTTATTCTAAAGGGCATACAATTCGTTTTCATGATTTTAAAATATATGAATTTGTATAATGAGGACATTTTATGGTAAATTTAATCGTATACATATTATACTATTATATATATACATTGTACATACGTAATACAATAAGTGTTCTAAAAATACGCACGAGTTGTATACTTTACGTTGACTTTGCTTACCACACGGTAGTGTCTAATTATTAATTTTCTGCGCGTTTCATAACTGTACCACTAAAATACGGCGGGAGCATAAAAAATTAAAAGACTGATTAAACGCAATTCGTATATATAAGTACTCAAAATACGATATGAAAACGTCGGTTTCTGTTCGTGAAAATATTGAATAGGAGCAATAATAATATTAAATAAATGAAATTTCGGAAACATAGCATACTAGTAACACTATATAAACGCCGTTTGTTTTATTATTTAACTGTACACATTTTCTTGATGTGGTTGTAATATGTGCGTTTCGTATTTGCATATTACATTTATTTACATATATTCGTACCATATGATTGAAATCCAAGACCACACAGTATGTATAGCTTTTTAACGATTCAACGAATTTCACAAAAGTATGTTTATAAATTCAGGGCTTTAAAATAAATACATTCGGTTTTTGTTACATAATTAAATAAAATCAAAATGTATTTTTGAATACTTATAATAAACTGCATATATTTTAAACTATTTTACAGTATTTTAATAATTTATAAAGAAAAATAATTGCTTGTGTTTTAAATTCGTAACCCTAGTCTTAGAAATGGATTTATTCGTAGTCTTGACGTTAAAAAATATGTCGCGTAACATACTTACTCCCGTCATACAATGCTGTGTTAAACTAGGTGCAGCATCACTGTAATTAATAGAAGTAATGGCTAATAATAACTAATGAGTTATTAAAGAAGACATTTATTACACGAGGAAGGTTTTTATAGCATGAAAACAGATTTAATTTTGATCTGAAAAAATGTTGATGGTTTTATTTGACAAATTTCAAAATTAGGAAAATCGACCGATCAAGTATGCATTATGAAATAATTCTTCTGTATATTAAATTCTATGTAATATAGAAGCATTATGAGTAATGAGTATTATTATAATTGAAATTATAATGTAGGTTAGTGTTTATAGTTTGAGCGATTAGATTAGAACTATTAACAGAATATTCCAGGCCTTTTTATAACAGAGTACCTAGTAATTTATTAACTAGATAAAATACAGTTTATTGGCGATAGTTTTTATATTATAATTAATTACAATAATAACATAAATAATAAATTCGTTTCAGATACTCTAATAATACGTCAATTATTAACGTTATATACGTATACAAACTGAAGTATCAATATATTTAATAAAACGATAGTGCTATGCGATGACATAAATGAATGAAAACAATATACCTACAATAGTTAATAGTTATATAAATATTATTTTCTTTCACGTAGACGGTTCACGGTCATCCGAAACGACGATTTTTAAGGTCGACGAGTTTATGTAGGTGTATAGGCCGTGACGTTGTGAAAAAACGACACGACTGAATTACTGAAGAGATAAAACGAATTATACGATTGTAGTTGGTAGGATTAATTCCCTAAAGAGAAATGGTAAGAAAAATAGTAAATACATATATAAGACTTAATCTAACCTACCGAGATGTTTAAAATATTGAGAATTTACTACAAGAAATTAGCTTCAATATTGAAGTATATTTTCTATTTCAAGACGTGACATCAGACAAAAAAAAAAAAAGCCAATATATTGACTTAAATTCATAAGTATGTTATAAATATTGACAGAAGTAACAAGTGATATGATACTTCTATAAATTTAATTAAATAAATTGTTAACAAATAGCATAATATTAATCATTATCTAATTTTGATATATCGTTAACAAAGTTCAAAATTTTTAGCGAGGGGATCGTCAAGGGTAAATGGAAAATAAGGGTGAGTAAAGATTGGTCAATTCCCTTTATAAAATCGTCTTATCTAGACTAATATTATATTATACAGTATTTGCAGATTACAAATTTTCAAAAAAATCCACGGATACTTGTGTTTAAATTTTTTATAATTCCGGTAATATACTAGTTTCAAATATTGTTCATCCCCATTATTGGAGTTTAATGATTATATATAATATTTAATTATTTTCATATACGCAGTATACATAAAACATACGGACAACGGTCTCAAAAACAAACCCAAGGTTAATGTGGGACGAGCATAACATGTGATAATACATAAGTATGTTTAATATTATGAACACGAAGGTCTTCACGTAGGTTTTTGTCTTAGATTACGGGTATAATTGATTAAGGTCACGAACACAGAGAAATGACACCCATACTGGTCTTCTTCGCGGAGTGTATTACACACACACACACACACACACATATTAAATAACTGAATGTAGTATTATACTTATTAGTTATTACCCTGAAATAATAATTATTGAATGGATGATATTATATAGTATAAAGACTGTCTTAAGATTGTATATACTTAAAATTTATTAAATAAGTATGGACTATGCACAAAAACTCTTAAATATGCAAAAAAAAAAAATAATAATAAGTAATTTAAAATGAAAAAATACGAAAATGTTTTCTAAAAAAAACATATAAAAAAAAAATATTTTGTAGATGATAATGCAATGGTATCTAAAAGTGATGTAATATAAATTTTGAATTAACTAGATAACAAGTAGCAAAAAGAAAAAACATGCAAATGCTTTAAGAGCTTTAGCACAAATTATAGTATTGTTATAAAATGTTCATTAAGATATTCTAAATGAGATAAAAGACCTCACCCTTTAGTTTTTATATAAAAATTGCAGTATCATTACTGACTACGGATAGTCATATCATGAAATTGTTAGTTCGGTTGTCGTCAATTTTTACAGGACGAACCCAATTGTCGTAGACGAACTGTAATTACTTGAAGTAATAATACAGAGAACAGTTGGGAGGCAACACAGAAGTGGGCTGTGTGCAGTACAGTCGTGGTTCATATAATGTATTATATTATGTAGGAACCTGTTTGATATATATATATATATTATTATTAATAATAATATTATTACATGATAAACAACCAATATTGTCGCACATTCTAATGTCATGACCTACATCGTCCGGAGTAAGAGAACGGGTTATGATCGAATATTAATATTAAAATAAAAAATAACTAATTAATCAATTAAAAATATAGATATTCTAAATATTATAATTTTTAAAAATGTTTAAACTGTGAAATAATGATAAAATATGAAAATTAATTAATTTCAGCTGTCTTTTTATGTTCTACAAAATGGTTATTTTTGTTCCCAATGTGAAAATCCTAAAAATCTCTCGATAATAAAACTCTTTACTTGATTTTGTAACTTTAGTAGATACCAAAAATAAGACGTTTTAATAAGACGGTACTTTCGATTTATTACCTAAATGTGACTACTTAGTCATTTTTTTTTAAAAACAAAATATGTATTATAATTTATAATACATTGATTTACAAACATATTGATAATTTACTTAAAATATTCATACATGCTTGTACACTAATTAATAATAAATAATAATATTAACTATAATAAACAAACTGAAAATAAATCAAAATAAAATTTGAAATTTAACTGCATGTTAAAATCGTTTTTAGAGAAAAGCTACCTACTAACCGAAAGCATAATAAAATAACGTTTTTATCAGATAAAAATGTATTAACTCCTTTCAATTAAGGTTAACATATTATTTCTATAATATTATTAGTTTTATTTTATAACGGAGTAAGGACATCGTGGTTTTTTGATAACTATTTAAAAGAGTAAGAACGAGACGATAGTATAACAATAACAATAATAAATCAGTAGAATATAGAAATGTATGATATATACACATAAGATATAACCAAGTAATATAACCACCAACTCCTTTTACTGATGAAAACTTTAACACATACAGCCACTATTAAGCATTAGAATCATAGATAATATATATCATCTATGATTAGAATATATTTGCAATGTACGTCATTATCGCGTATACAATGTACTTGGTATAGGAGATAAGACACATTTTAAGGTATTTCACTGCGATAAAAATATTACTGATTATTATGATAAGAATTGTATGGCGTATAACTAATAGGTATTATAGCATGTCTCTAAACGCTAAAATACATTTGAGTGTAACACAATTACATTTTTACGATTACAGATTGTTGATTATAATTATTTAAATATAATATTCATTATTAAATTGACATTTGATAAAAATACATACAGAGTGTGAATATTATGCAGGAGGGTTTAATTTAATGACTCTATACACAGACATCTATATGTATTTTTTATAAGTAAATTTTCATATTTATGAAAAAAATATTAATAAATTATTTTAATAACTTTAAAGATTAATTCTGATTAGTTAATAATTTCATAATCAAAGCGAAATTAACGTTTATAGGTACACATTTTTAAAATAAAATACCTAATTTTTGTTTATAAATAATCACTGAAACGCAAAAATAGTCAGGATACCTTGC